GGGCCACAGCAGGAGGAGGTGGGTCAGAATGGGGTGGTCCCGCTCTTTGAGCTCATCTGCGCTTCCTTCCTGAGGTTCAAACCCAAGTGGCTGCCCAGTTTTGTGGAGCTGACTCAGCAGTATGTTAGCATCTCTTGGGCATACAGCAGCAAGGAGGGTCCAGAGGGCCGGGTGCCGCTGTACAAGAGAGCACTGGGAGTACTAGCCAGGAAGAACAAGCGCAGCGAGGCAGATGATGAGATGGAGCTCGAACTGCTGCTCTGCAGCAAGAGGCCTAAGGCTGTGCTGCAAGCTCTGCACCTTCTCATCTGCCTGAAGCGGTGGCAGCGGGTGGTGGAGGTGGCAGAGAAGTTCTCCAAGCTCAGCCCCTTGCTTAACAAGGAGATATTCACCACGCTGCTGGCAGAGTTTGCCCAGCACCGGGAGCTGGACCCTTATCTGGACACACTGTGGCCACTGTGCCCCGCTGAGCTCACCACCTCAGACATCCTCGCCGTGGTCCTGCAGCACCTCCCTCACGCCCAGGAGGACCCAGTACCCTTCTCCAGTGAGGGGAACCAGCTGACTGTAGGTTTGCTCAAGCCGCTGCTGCAAAGGGTTGTGCAGCGTCCCTGCATCCAGGATGAGATATACTCGGATGCCTTGCAGAGCCCCACCTTCCCCCCTCCTACCCCACCCCGAGAGCACAAGATCCTCTCAAAAGCAGCGGCCGATGATGCCCCTCAGCCACCCACAGCAAGAACTTCCTCCCCCTCAGCGCTGGTACAGGGTGACGCTGCATGAAGGAGGGAAGCACAACGGGATCCCAAGCCATGGGTGCACGAGGAGTGGAAAGCTGCATCCACCCTGGGAAATCCTGCCCCGCCTGGCAGTACAGAAGCCTGCTCCTTTCCAAAGCCTCCCTGCAGCAGCATCTCAAAGAGTCCGTTGGGTGGCTGGTTGGGGGATCTCACCTGAAGCCAGGGCAGGCTTTCTGGCTGTTTCTAGCAAGTGCAATTGTGTGTGCCCCAGCGGAGGAGCAAATGCTGGTGGCATTTGCAGGTGAAAGCGCTGGCTGCACTACAGGACTACAGAACTGCCGCCTGCCCATAGCACTTTGTTTTTGGTTTGCTTGGCTCCTTTATAACTTCATTTCCACTTCCCTGATCTTTGTGGAGCGGTGGTGGTGTGGTTTAACCTGGCCAGCAACTAAATGCCATGAAGCTGGTCCCAGTCAAAACCAGGACAGGTGGGCAGGGACACACACAGTCTTTCCCCCTCACCACCCCATTCTCTGCTTAGTGGGTTGGGTGGTGCCTCCAAGCTCTGCCTGTGAGAAACTGGGCATGTTTCTTGCAGCAGGGTTGCCGAGTTCTGCTACTTTGGGCTCAGTCAGATGCTAAATGCCAGCGTGGCACAGCTCCGCAGCACTGGGGGTCCCAGCACACATACTGGCAGCTGCAGCACTCTTCATGCTGTCTCACTGCAATTCCTCTGGGATCAATCCTGTAGCTGTGACTGATTGCAGCTACTTAGCTGAAGAGAGCAACCTAATTCCCTTATCTCTCTATCCCAGACGGTACCCAAACTCTCTTCTGAGCCGAGAAGCTGGCAGCAGCCTGTGCGAGCTCAGGGCTGGCCCTTCCTCTCCCTTTCCTTTGTGGAAGCTTAGATTATGCTGCAGGACGCCCAGGCCCTCTGTTCCCATCTCCTCTACCTTTGCCCTTTGCACACAAAGGGGCTTTGTCAGGGTTGTCTGGCTCATATTGTGCCTCTGTTTGCAAAGTCAGTGTAACTTGAGAGCGGTTGTGCAGGAAGATCCAGGTTCCAGCCCCTCGCTGGTGCTCACTGCCTGGCCCCCTCCTCCGGGAGAGAGACCCTGGCTGTGGCTTTGCCCCTGCGTTCAGGGCTGTGGTGGGAAGGAGTTGTCTCTTTTGCCTTGCCCGGCTGGCAGAGCCTGGCTGGGATGGGATGGACTGCAGGAGATTCACCTGCATTAGTCCTCTTGAGAGTGGGGTTAAGTGTGTAAAACAGACTCCTTTTAAAAATAAACGTTCCTAAAGCAGTGCAGATGGATGTTGTGAGGATGCATACCCTCAGGAGGAGGCAGTTTCATTTTGCTTCTGCTGAAAAGTGGCCAAGCTCAACTCACCAGGGTACTGCCCAGTGTGGATCACTGCTGGTACATAGTGGGCTCAGAGTCCCAGCTGTGCCTGGACAGCCCATTCCCTCCATGGCACTGGGCCCTTTACCGCTATGAAGCCATGGAGGCAGGACTCTGCACTGGCAGGCAGGTGACCACCCCAGAAGGGCCATCCCAGGCAGCGCACGGTTTGGCAAAGGCAAACCCACGTGTTGCTGGGAGCAAGGAGACTTACCTTGGCTTAGCTTCCTTCCTCCCTGCAGCTCCTCGGTGCCACAAGCAACCTCAAAAGGCCACTGGGGCTTCTTGTTGGGTGAGTTGTGGCTGGGCCCAAGATAAGATTGAGGAAGGGAGACGACATTTTTTTTCAAGAGCTGTAACTTGTCCCTTTGTTCCTGGCTGAAAAACCAGCATCAGGGAACACCAGGCTGGTCCAGGCAGGAGCACACAACAGCAGAGCTGCCATTGAACAGATCGTGGTTGTCAAACTGCTTTAAAGATGTGGCAGAGCCTCCCCCAGACAAAGGCTCAGCTGCAGAAAGTCCCTGTAGTGGAAAAAAGTCTGGCAAAGGGGAAGAGGAACTGCTGCAACGGTTCTCTAGAGGCTGGCTGGCTACTGATGAGACCTTCCTTATGGTGGCCCTCATGCTGCAGCCATGGGGTGCTGTGAGTATTCCCTCCCACACAGGGGAAGTGGATTCTGGCAGTGGCTGCTCGTGGAGTGGAGGGAGCGTGGCCTGAAAGG